GCCGAGTCTACTCTAGTGTTGTGATCGAACAGACACTCAGTAGAAAGTGATTAAGTTTAGCAAGACAGTCATTATATTACGAAACCATAGACCTTTATCTACGAATCAATTATAATAATAACATTGAATCATCTTGGAAAGAGTTTCATCATGTCTGTTGTAACGCGACGCGCTGTTTGAACACCGAATAGAGAATGACTGACAGCCGCAGTGGAGGGAAAAGCTTACGTTAACTTGAATTTAATGACTTAAATATACATTTCTATCTCACATTATACTACAGTATGGCTTCATAAAGTATACATGATTAACGCAGGTCACCTATTTTGGTTTCAAAACGGCGAATTTGCCGAAAGGTGAATGATTTTCGTGTATGCTGCATATTGATAGCGGTTTCCTGATGCCCGCAAATTAGTTCAAACTCACGGAATCAAAAGTGCGCATGCGAGACAGAAGATAATGTGCTCCAAACCGTCCGTTTTGCGCGCGCGAGACAGAAGATAATGTGCTCCAAACCGTCCGTGTTGCGCACAGACCGGCGAGGGAGAGAGACTGCGTGTGTGCCTCATGAAGCGCATGTAAGAAGCGCATGTAGCATGTAAACAATCCCCGTGACGTAATCAGACCAACTAATCGATAATGACATTCGTTGACAACGATTTTCATAATCGATTATAATCGATTTTATCGATTAGTTGTTGCAGCCCTATAAAGATATATTGCGCCTGTGTGACTAGTATTCGTTCGATGAGTTTTTTTTTTTAAGTTTAGAGACGTGCTCCAGAAAAAAAGTTCACGGAGATGGAGAGGCAGAAAGCATACCTGGTTTATTTTCTTTATTTTACAAAAGCACAATGTTTTGTTTCGATTGTAAGTGGACACATACAAAAGTAGATATTTCACAGTTTATTTTTCATATTTCTTAAGTCTATATGACCATAAATGACGGCGTATTTTAAGTATATTTTGCTGCTATGTGAAAAAAATCCATCAAAGCGCGTCGGTGCACTTGTCGACCCCAGATGCTTTTCAGCGTGAGCAGTTCTTTTGCAACCAACAACACTACACCTATGTTACATCCAGCCCAGTCTCAACCCAAGGCGTCATATACTGACGCTTTTGACATTTCGTCTACATCCAACGCACACAGCACCCTTTAGCGTCAATATGAGACGCAGATATATATGGGCAAGAAGGCGCCTCCTAGTGGTCTAACCCTAACCATAACCGAACAAAGCTCTGTGCGTTATATAGTCATTTCGTGTAGCCTAGGTAGTTACTGTAGTCAGCTAGTTGTTAGAAGCATAGTTAGTTATAGCATAGTATTTAGCGATAGCTTTATCTGTATTTAGTACAGTGGTTGAAGATGGGATAATGCATTCTCATCCTAGGGCGTCATTTAGTGACGCTTTTGACATTTCGTCTAAATCCAACACACACGGTACCCTTTAGCGTCAATAGAACACGCACAGAGCTTTGTTCGGTTATGGGTAGGTTTAGGTCTGTGGTAAGGTTAGGGTTAGACGACTAGGAGGCGCCTTCTGGCCCATATATATCTGCATATTGACGCTAAAGGGTACAATGTGCATTAGATTTAGACGAAATGTCAAAAGCGTCACTATATGACGCTCTAGGATGAGAATGCATCATCCCATTTTAACCACTGTACTAAATACAGATAAAGCTATCGCTAAATACTATGCTACTAACTAACTATGCTTCTAACAACTATGATAACTACAGTAATTACCTAGACTACACGAAATAATCTAAATAACTATATAAATCTATATTACAAGTATAGTCTCTCACTTGATCTGCGTCTATATTATATCACTTGATGATTATCTAATCAAAATCGCAACGACAAAAATTGCCACATTAAGCATTTGGGTCAGGTTTTTGTCATATTGTTTAAACCACTTGAGGTAGCCACTACTAATGTTAGTCCCTTTCAGCCTCGACGGCAAACATAGGCTACTTTTGTTCTTTCTCTGCAAATGCAGCATCTAAATGAATTACTTTATAATGATATGGCAACATGGACTGTAGTGTTCTGTAATCTGTTTCGCAGTTGTTTGTTGAATGTGCATCTGAAGTTACAACGCTCTCTGTGAAGCGCGTTTTCTCTGTGCTGCGCGCAGCCTCACGTGTTACAATAAACAACTCAGCCAGTGATAGTTTGTTATTTGTCCTCGAGAGGGCGCTCTCGCTCTGTAAAATGCCAGCAGTGCTCTCGTACTATGTAATGTTTACACATTATTATCAGCCGCTCCAGCAACGGACACAATGCGGAAAAACTATCGGTGTGGATTTTTGCCGATAACGATAGTTCCACTAAACAACTATCGGTAACGATATATCGGCGATGAATCGGTCGACCACTATACCTGTCACTTTATTTGTCAAATTAAATAAGGGTAACGCAGCGCAGGTTACATGAGTTCCAAACAAACCCACAACAGGATCAACTATTGTGCATCTCCAAGTAACAAACAGTAGTGGTGTCCGTTTCTGAACGAGTTGGTTTTTAACAAAAAAAATAACGTTTGCATATATTGCATAACGACATGCACTGAGAAAATTTTTTTTTTTTTTAAATCATGTTAGCCACAGTCCCTCTCCAACTCAGAGCTGGGCCTCAGTTTGAACTATTTTTAGATAATATGTGAAAGAGCTGTAAGACAGCTCATAAGATCCAGGGCATCAAATCCAGGACATAAGCTTCTAATGAACTAGGCTGAATAACAGACAAACACACTGTAAATCTGTGATCTACAAAGTCTGATGACTATACTGTACACTGAAGGACAATTATCAAAAACCAGCATTTTTAATGTCTGAAGAAAGTTCTCCACACTACTTAAAGCACTGGGCATTTTGGAACATGTTTACATAGGCCTATCCATGTAAAACAATTTCCCAGGGAGGATAAAACCTCTACATTGTTGACTGCAATTATTTGACTATTTCAATGCAGTGGTTAAAAGATTGAGAATGTAAGGTTGACTGCAAATCTGCCTGTTAAACACTGAATATTTTTTTTTATGTGGTCAAATGGTGACGACCCAAGTGTTCAATCTCAAACTCAAGGACAGATCATGGGAAAGGAACTGACCTCATAGAGCTATCAGACCTATAAACACTGGAGCTGTGAGTGACAGCAGACTCAGCCAATGACCAGCAGTGTTGGGCAGTTGCCAAGCAATGAGACCCAGTGTTGTGGCTACCAAACACTGCTGTCACATGGCAACAATTGCACGTGTATTAGCCAAGTTATATCTCAAGTTTCATGTAATGAAGCATTTAAAATCTTTCAGCCATACTACCATGAAGATTTAAATGGCTCTATACATAATTCTAGACTTATTGAAATAAAATTATGCAACAATAAAGAAAAAAATATGTTGTTTCAACTTAAAATAGTAAGTATTCGGCTAATCAACTTAAAATGTGAAGTTGTAATAAGTGACAACTTGGATATTTTAGTTGACTAAACTTTTTTTTCAAGGCAGAACAATAATTGGTAACACTTTATTTCGATAGTCCACTTTAGAGATTCTACTAACTATAAGTAACTTGTCAACTAACTGTCATTAGAGTATTAGTAGTCTGTCTGCTTAATATCTGCCAACACTTTATTTTGTTGGTCCCCCAACAGACATTCAACTGACTGTAAGTAACTTGGCGACTACAAGTAAACTTATTCTCCCAACCCAAAGCCTAACCTAACCATAACCTAACAGTCTACTGACAGTCTACTATAATATACTAATACTCAAATGAGGGTTAGTTGACATGTAGTTGAAAAGTTACTTATAATTAGTAAAAAGTCTAAAGTGACTATCGAAATAAAGTGTAAGCCAATAATTTTTAGGTCAGATAATAAGTAAAAAGAAATCGCTAGTTAATATCACTAACAAGGCTCAAGTTGCCAAGTGAGCTGAACTGTATGAAGTTCAGAGCCCGTCCACACGAAGACGCGCTTCACTGTATACGTATAAATTTTTTTAGCGTATTGGCGTTTCGTCCACATGAAGAGTGAAACCGCTATTTTTTGAAACCGGGTCCCAAAGTGGATAAATCTGAAAACGAAACCCTTGCGGTTTCGTGTGTACAGTCAATCCGTATATTTTGTGAAACGATGATGTCATCACATCATGTGTCGGCTGCATCACACGGCATCTTCGTCTTCTTCTTGGTTCGTATACAGCGCGCAAGGTTATGCGCATGCTCAAAGTCTTCTTCTCCGTGTATAGTGTATCTCTGTGGCAGAATTACAGCGCCCCATACTGGTCTGGCATATATACTACACCGTTTTCAGTCAGCTTCAGTGGTTTCGTGTGTACACAGATATTTCTTGAGACGACGCCGTGTTTACGTTTTTTTTTTAGAACGAGAAAAAAAAAATAGGATAGGGAACGCATTGGCTTCGTGTGGACGTGGCCTCAGTGAACTTCTGAACTGTTTTCCAGTGGAACATCTTTAAATATCTTCTGCACACTTACAATGTTCTCAATGCTTCGTTTTGCATGTAGGGACCCTCATTATGCTACCATGTTAGTGTGGGGCTATTTTGAGCCTTGTTAGTGGTATTAACTAGTGATTTCTTTTTACTTATTAAATTCCCCCATATACTAGCATTATAAGCTAAACAGTTTTTAGAGATAAAACTCTTTACATTTGATAATCATGAAAACAAATCTCAGAGAACGGTCGACTAGGTACCGATGTGTTATTAGACCAAAGGTTCATTTTGCGCCAGAGTTCTCCTTTAACAGTGAGATGTTCAACCAATGCAATGCTCACTGGTAACTTGTGTGAAAGAATGTGTGTCAGTGCATGTGTGAGATATTTGTTGTTACTATTTTGAATAAAACAGTGTCAATGGAAAAAGACAACTTCATCATAGGTGACGGAGAAAGAGACAGGAAAAACAGTGGCTATAAGAGAGAAACATACAGTAGAGGAACCGGATGAGTGAGTGATTCTGTGCTTACGGAAATATTTGAGGGTCTCCTCGATCTGTTCTGTGGTCAGGTCGAGGTTGAAATCGGGTGAGATGAGAGGAGTGTGGAGCCAGTCGTCGTGGTCATAGCCGTATATCGTGTCAGCTCTCAGCTTATAATGAGGCAACTGCTCCTCAAGCAAACTGATGATTTCCACCTCAGGAAGATCAGTGCTGTTACACACATCTGACAAGGAGAGAGAGAAAGCAAAGAGAATGTTGAGAAACATCAAGCGCCAGGGAATAGAGACATTTGCTCAATGAATCTCACTAGAAGAAGAAAAAAAAACTGTTTTACATGGCACAACCATGTTTTCTGGTACTAGTCTTTGAATTCAGCGCATTTTTGTAACAACGTGACAATTTATTTGAGAAAAAATATAAATAAAAATACCACAGAATTTACATAAAATTTCAATAAATAACATTAAATTATATAACAATAAATACATTGTTTAAAATTAAGTAAACAATATTTAAACACTTTTTGGTAGATAAATAGGTGATTCTAGGATATTTGTGTGAACAGTAAAGCTTTACAACAAGGTCTCATATGCCATAACTAACCATGAACAATACATTTATAACAGGATTTATACATTTTTGTTAATGTTAGTTAATAAAAATACTTGCGTTCATTGTTTGTTCATATTAGGTCAGAGTGCATTAACTAATGTTAACAAACACACCATTTTATTTCAACAATGTATTTGTAAATGTTGAAATTAATATTAACTAAGATTAATAAAAGCTCTAGAAGTGTTGATCATTCTTAGATCATGTTAACTAAAGTAGTTATCTAATGCTAGATAATCTAGTTCTCGTGTGAACTTCATGGATAGAAAAATGAATTTATTCATTCACTAAAACAAGCTTGGTTTCCATTTATTGCAAAAATAGCCTAGAAACACCTGAATACACAGTGCATAAAATATTCAAATACATTTTGGGATTGAAATATATATAAAAGTACCATGGTATTGCCATCTGATGCCATCACTGATCTAATGTACCACCACAGTAAAATACCACATACATTCTTTAAAGCCAACGAAGCAACATATGGTTGTAATAACTGTGCAATAATAGTGTAATAACACAACAACAATTTACAAAATGTGAGATCAAAGACACACTCTTGGGGTCAAACTAAATGCATATGAAAATACATTAAGTGTGAGCCTAGGCTGATCTCTAGTGGTCTGATGAAGAACTACACAACTAAGTTGAAATTTTCCTGACTAAGCCTTTTGAGTTTCTCATGAACACGCATATAAATGGCAGTATTTTTAAAACGACGAGCCAGAACAAAAGATAAAACAATGATAAAACCCACAGATGGTGGAAAAATACTGAGGTTCAACTTTTTGTTCAAGCACAGGCACAGCATATCTCATTTGAACTCACAAGCACACAAACATTACTTCACAGCTAATTATCAAGCGGATGCAGTCTCAACAGAATGTTTTATTCTGCCCATCCTCCCTTCAGACAACAAGCCGTTGTTCAACACGGCAGCCTCTCCCCCGTCAGACAACCAGCCCTTATTCCGATCCACCAATATCATTAGAACTCTCTTCTGTGTAGAAATGTAGGACTGAAATATATGTAGCAAATGAAAGACTCAACCATGTGTAATGGAGGCGGCATGCTCGTGTTTAACCAAGCACAGGGGTTAAATGGGAGTGGCCTTGTGGCTATACATTACTGAGAGCACACAGAAACAATGCAGACCCATTACAGCGGTAATGCCAAAGAGATAAACCACTGTCGGTTAGTGAGAGAGAGCTGAACATCAAGTGCACTACTGGCATGTAGAACAGTGCGGACTCCTTGACACAAGATAAAAGCAGTGTTCACCTTTAGACAAGGTCACCAAGTTTGTGCCACAGATATAATGCAAGTTTGCATGATTTTAAAGCTGCTGTTTGTAATTTTCTGTTAAAATACTACTTTAAAGTGAAGAAACGTTTGGTACACAGCTGTAGAAAGCATTTGGCTGTGTTTTATGAACATGTTCACCAAGGCTGCATTCACTTGCAGCAGTAAAAACAGTAATATGGTGAATTATTATTATAAAGTAATGGCTCATCATTGTATTACAATTTAAACTTTCTATTTTAATCTATTTTAATTCATTCCTTTAATGGTAAAGCTTCATTTTCGGCAGCGATTAGGGGAGCGCGGGGCACAAGTTACGTAATGTAGTTGTAACACACTTGTTTTAAATACTTACACACAACTTGGTGTATTTACTAGTTGCCATTTCAACACTATATAGAGAAAAATTGGCGACAAAGTTCCGAAATCTTTGTAAGATATTTATTGCAATAGAGACTGCTGGCATTATATACTCTATTTTTTTGTGTTTATTTAAAATTAGACAAATCTGATATTATTTTAATCTCCAATCTGTTGTTTAACAGTTGATATAGTTCTTTAATGCTTCGCTAACTAGCAGAAGACACTCGCAGGGTTTAAAGCTTGTGCAGTTGGGGCATGTTGTAACACTGCGGTACAATGTGCCCCTAGAAATATGCTATTATATTCTATACTTTTATGAATTCTATTGTGAAAACAAGAGAAACATGTAAATAAAGACTGCAAGTCAATGTTCAGAAATTATTAGTTATTATTTTGTTTTGAACTATGCTGTATAGCTGTGTTTTCAGGTGTGTTTGTTGTCAAACTCAAAAATTATATATATAAAAAAAACGCCATTATTTTATATGAAAAAGTTAATAATTGTATTTTATTAAGAAAATATTTTGGTTTGACTTGTATATATTTTTGATTAGATCAGATAACATTTTAAGCTATGGTGATGTTACAATGTGTCCCTCACATGTTACAATGTACCCCACCTATGGGGCATGTTACATTTCACTTCAATTCTTTCAGGGTAAATCAAGAAAAAAGTATACACTGTATTAATAAAACAAAACCACATAATTGTACTAGACATGTGGTAAATTAATGTGGGTAAGCCGTGATACAATATGTCAAGGATTCTCTGATGCATAGACTGTTAAAAAGAACATCATTATTATTATTTTTTTTTTGTATTTCGTAACATTATAAATGTCTGTATTCTTACGTTTGATGAATTTAATGGATCCTTATTTAATGGATCCTTTTATCAACCATTGCAATAAAACGCTCCCAGATTCACGTTCATCCGTTCCAGAGAAAATTCAATATGCTTTCAGCACCACTCACTCACTCACTGAAACATTTCACTTTGAAAATGTCAAAATGTGCAAGAAGCAATGTAATATTTAGCATAAATCCAACAGACAGTCGGACAGACCGGCCCCACAGAACTGAACTTAATCATACACATTTTCAACAGGATGAACACCAGCATTTTCGGTGAACCCCTATGAGAATGGATCTATGGAAAGGTTTTAGTGTTCTGGATGTCATCACCATCGATTTGTACTTTAGTCACTGACCCTTTGAATACCCACAGCAAATAAAAAAGGGGATTGACTTTGGTTAATTCATGCAGCAAAGATGTTGTTTGAACAGGACAGTTTGGGATTCAGATTATAAAACATGGCCACCAATCCCACAGACTGTCCACAATAGTATGTTCAAGAAACAGTTATTTAAGCATTATCTTTGCATAATAAAAAAGAGGGGGAAAACCCAAACGCAATCCACAAGTTTCCGAGGGGCGCTCCTGTAAAAAATAAAGTGGGTGAAACTTCCGGTGACGCGGCGGAAGTAGCATTGCAATGGTATTTTGTGTGTTAGTTAGCGAAGAGGCTAGCTGTTTTTCTGAGAAATATTTTACTATTTAAAGACGCAAATCTTTATGAGAGATGTCGTTACGGAGCTCAGGGACAACATGTGCTGTTCGCGGTTGTATGTATAGCCGGACTAAACTAATTTAGTGGCTTAAACAGGATTGTTTTGAACATAAGCTGAAAACGAAATCAGAGTGATCCTGCCAGAGCCCGTCTCTGATCCTGCCAACGACCGTAGTTTCCATCACCTCCCAAAAGACGACGAATCTTCCTGTGTACATTTGTTTAAATTCTTAATATTCTCTAAACTCTATCAGCATGTGTTTGGCTGTTCTCTACTGATGTTACAGCTAAACTCAGGATCCTGTGTTGACAGAATACCAAATGTGCCAGTTAATGTATTCAAGCAGCACATTCATTTATAATTTTGAATAAACTCCAAAGCACAATGACTAAGTGTCTATTTTTTATTTTAATTGTTTGTCAGCTCGCACAACTGTCTGTCACCATGCCTTGATGAGTATTAATTATTAATAATGTTATTATAATACTCCCAATCAACTACTGCGGAGGTAAAGGTACTGTTATTTCACCCTTTTGAATTTCGTTGAGGTTGTGTTCCCACATCGTTAGCTAGTTTGGATCGCTATAACTTGAATCACTGTCAACTGTTGAATGAACGAGTGTCAAGCATGTCAAATCGCGCTTTGTTTACTTCCAACCGGAAGTCGCGCCCACTTTTGACGCAAGGCCTCATGGGGCGTAGGAAACTTGTGGATAGGATTTAACTTCGCTCCTGTTCTGTAGCGCTAGTGCTAAGATAAAACTGTATGGTTCAGACGGTCTTCTCTACACTACTCTGGAAAGCATGGGGCCCATTAGGGGGAAACTTCCTCTGTATTGCACACTTGAACACATATCTGCTATATAAACAGACTGAGAATGGAAACAACTGTACAAATGCAGTGAAAACATGGATTTTTCTCAGATTGATGAAAAGAAAATCTGTACACAGGTATCGGATGAAGGGTTTGTTCTGTTAAAATTTGACTAAAGAGTAGTCTTTTTGTTTATAAAGCCAACTGTAAAAAAAAGAGCAGGTCAAAACCTGTCAGGACTTTGCTGAACTGAGAAAAATTAAACAGCAGCATTACCATACAACATTAAACTAATAAACAGACCTAAATTCTAAGATTTATGACAACAATCAACAGCATTTTGGTTTCCTCTTTTATGGACAGATTTGTGTTGAAATAGTGTCCATTTGGCACGGAAAGCGAAGCCTTTTGCATGTTTGAGTGTGTGCTGGATGTGGATGACTGTGATTATTTCAGGCTTGTATTTTTACAGCAACAGCACAAGTGAAAACATGCTGTCCTTCCAGTCTCCTTCACCATTAAAGAACATTACCTACATGCATTTTCGATGGGGTCCAATTTGTAAATGATCAATTTTATTAGGACAGAATGTAAAACAAAAGTCAAAACACTTTCAGTGACAAGTTGAAATTTATATACATAGTTGTACCAAATACTACGCAATTTTCGCACACATAAGCACATTTGGTTTGTAAAGCTGCAAGCTGTTTCAAGAGGCATGAGCTCGACAAGTCTGTGTAATACATTTTAATAACATTTTTCAACATGATTCGAAAAACAACCAGATCTTGTGCTTCAATGGAAACATGAACGTTTGACCTTTTATGTCATAAGAATGGCAACATTTCTAACATATATGCTTATTACAAAAATACTACCCAGGACATAATGGATGTTAAATTCCAGGTTTTAATGTGGATTTTAAATCACAGATTTTCAGTGTGAAGCCACACTTTTAAATCCCAAATTGTGTATTACAGACAGACTTATGATGGAAACATATTGGCATGGCAGTACAAACTGCCAACTTACAAAGTCACAGATCTACAAACCCTAAAGACCGACAACTTAGCCTTAACCCTGAATCACAGAAGGACATCTACACAAAATGTCTGTCTACAGTGAGAAAACTCTGTCAGTGAGCAAAAGTCCAGTGAGAGTGAAGAAGCAGTACTCACTCATGGTGCTGCAGCCACGGGCACTCGGTTCACTCGCCCAAACTCACATTTTACACTCCTTCAAGATCGGACACGGCGTCCAGAGAACGAGTGATTATGAGAGGGAGAGTGGAAAGACGAGGGAGGAGGCAGTGAGCAAACACGGACACGGCCCAGCCATGTCTGGCATGCTGATGACACCAGTCACATGGCTCCCTCACTAAACATAGACTGAAGCGCTCTCAGGCCAGTGGACTTCAGCGCTCATTGTTCCTGTCCTCCTGACCCTGGATCAGTTTTCTCTTTCCAAAAAAAAACAAAAACAAAACATGTGTGACTTAGTTCTTTGCGCTGAACGGGCTGCAGATCAGGGGGTTTTGGGGGCGTGTGTTAGGCAGGAAGTTAGACCGCCTCAGGGGAACTGCCTCAGATATAAATCTAGTAGTTTAACAGCTGTTCAGTGTGTTAGTGAGTATAAGGGGGAAAGAAAGAGAAGCAACCTTAACAGAATATAGTACATGCATGGATATACACAATCTTTTAAACATACCAGAAAAATTAATCATCATTTTAAAATAAATAAATGGGGTCCACAATGGAAGCCTAGGATTCGGAATGAAATTTAAAACTAAAATCTAAAATAAATTGGATATATAATACCGTGATGGAAATAATAATAAACAATTTAAACAGAAAAATAGTACATTATGCAGACTCGCACAATAATAATATTTAAAAAAAATATTTAAACATGGAAATGATTATATCTTTTAAATGAATTATTTCTACTCAAATCATCATGCTTATAATATAAATTCAATTATAAAAAAGCAAAACAACAGGAATTTTTATATCAGAAATAAACACACATGCATCTGTAATGGTTTTTATACTGTATATTATATCCCCTTAAACTAAAGGCCAATTTATACTTCTGCGTAGGGTGCGCGCAGTAGGTACGGCGTAGCATACGCACAGACGCGTCCCATACCGCGTACCCTTCCGCGTTGCCTGACGCGCACCTCTTTAAAAATGTAACTACACGTCGCGACGACGCGGACCGCAAGATCGGTGATTGGTCGGCTTGGTAGCGTCGTATTTCCTCATACGCATTTCCGCACGTATCTTCTCACGCATTTCCACACGTACCATCTCCTCCGACGTCTTCTCTCATTTCTGCCTTTCAGTTTTAGTAATTTCACTAAAATGAACTGTTTTTTCACCCCAATAAGCTCCAACTCCAACATGATCCACTCTCTTTCAGTCGCTATTGCTTGTAGTAACCTAGCCGCGAGGAATCTAAACACAGTGGAACATTAAAACCCTCCGCCGCCTCCTAGCGTTTCGGAGCAGTACTGCAGAGCAACCAATACCTGAACGCAGAAGTATAAATGCTCACAACGGCGTCGCCTACGTGCGAAGCCAACGCCGTACACTACGGCGTACCCTCGACGCAGAAGTATAAATTGGCCTTAACCCAGGGATAGGCAAGTTCGTTCCTAGGCCTTGTCCACACTGACACAGGTATTTTTATAACCAGAGTTTTTCTTCCTGCGTAAATAAAAAAAAAAAAAAAAATTTTTTCCACATGAAAACGCAAAAACATGCTATCAAGCGCTGTCAAGAACATGCCACACCAGCAGGCGGCGATAGAACCCTAAACGTAAAGCTACGTTGGCCAATCAGAAGCCTAACAAAAAGTTACTACAGGTTCCGGTAGGCGGATAACCGCGCAGCGCGGCCGCACACTCTGACGTCACAAGGCAAAAACCCCGGTTTTACTGTCTACACCACAACACTGTAACCGGTGTTTCTGAAAATCCTCACCCTGGCAGGGGTTTTCAAAAATGTTCGGTTTCAGTGTCCCGATACTGCGTCTCCGTGAGAAAGAACCGCGTAAAAAAAGTCACGGTTATAAAAATACCCAGGCCCTAGCCACTGTCCTGCAGAGTTTGGCTCCAACACTCAAAGAAAGAAAAAAAAAAACACCTGCCTATGGACCTTATGTAGCCCCGCCCCTTTTCAGCGTTGTGCTCGTTGTCTTTTAACTTCCGGTCTGTATTTTCACAGATATCTTGCATTGGTATAAATGAACTGGTCGACATTTGTTAAGACATCTGCATTACAATGCTTATGATAAACATTACAATGCTCATGATAACTTTTGTTAACTCCACTTCACCAGCTAATTACTCCTCAACAGCGATGACATAGAAATATACAGAGCAACCGCGAAACCGGAAGTTCAAAGACGATATTCTAAAGATGACGGCACCCACGTTTCTCTGGTGCATAAGGTCTATACATAGTTCCCACAGGCAAAAAAATTGTCACGTGACCTCCCCGGAGACGCCATCTTTGAGGGCAAAACCGCTGTGTTTACCATAGGCGTTTAAAACGTTTTATCAGAGAATGTCGTTTTACAAAGAAATATTTATGTCTGTTTATATTGTTATGCAAATCATGAAAAGACAAAGTGTAATAGATTATAAAGAGCCTATTAAAACAAGACATAGAGAGGTACAATGCGAAAATTTCATTCATAAATGGTGTGTATCCTTATGCAACAAAAGAAGCACTGAGCACCGATTATGCAACTTTGCCTCAGATACAGTATTTTCATGTGTACAATTATCTGGTATTGGTGAGGAGTTTTTACACATGTGAGCAATTCTAAGCCTGGAAATCACTGGAGGTGTACGATCAGATTGACGTGGGGTTGGTTTGGTGACGTTTGCTCAAGTGCAATCAATGGAAAAGTAACCTAAGTCATCATAGCGAAGTAGCATGATGCTAATCTGTCTATTAAAAAGCCATAGCCTGCACAACTTAATTCCTATGTTCCCCAGTCACCGGTGATTTCTGTAATATGCATGTACTTGCGGGCGTCATGGTTCGGTGCATGAATATTAAAATAAATAACTCGCGTGCAATTTAATTAATGTAATGAGGAACTACATTATACGCGGGATCTTTAGGGACATAATCTGAGATTGCAATGCTGGAATGTGAGATCAAACAGTGGAAACAATGTTGTTTTGTATGTTTTTAATACCTCGTCATTTTGTTCATAGGCTACAGGACATTATTCAAACTGCAATGTGTTAACTTATATTTATTTACACTCGCAATAAAACACAACATTGTGCTTTTGTCAAACAAATTCTTGCGTGTTTTGAGTGAGTTTCTTTCCTGTTTATGCTCGCCAGCCATAATCTCCGTCGTTGTTCGGACAAAAGCTTAGTCACATCCATATGGAGTCTAATGACGGGTATAGTGTAAAAACCCGATTTAACTGAACCTCCGGCACGATTTTATCATCCATTGACCCAGCAGGAGATGACCATTTTCACTTTATAGCACGAAACTCATTTCACTTCGTTCAACTCGTATTGCTTCTTCTTATGTTTTGCCCTAAGCAATGGCGCCGGGTCGGCAAATGCCCGTATGTTGTGACGTCATGTGGGAACTATGTATAGCCTTAGTAATCCTAAAGACATTGATTAGCTTGATCAGGTGTGTTTGATTAGGATTGGAACTAAATTCTGCTGAACAGCAGCTCTCTGGGACCGACTCTCTGCCTACCCCTGCCCTACCCCTAAACCCAGTGGCGCAGGTTTGATTTTGAAATTGGTGGGGAAGGACATCAATATATAAATATATTTAAAGTTTTGATCGAAATTATTGCTATTGCAATAATTGCTAATTATTGCTAGCTTAATTATTGCTATATATCAGTCACTGGATATTGGTAGCGACATATCCCTACCAAATTCTACGCCCCTGCCTAAACCTACCCATCACACAAAACTTTCTGATTTAAACTTTTACTAGGCCTATTTTATTTTTCATGCGAGATTTACCAGATTTACAAATGCGGACGTCCCCAAAGTGAGGTTTTCAGAGATTTTGTTCACTTCTGGGTAGAAATTTGTCCCCAGTATATAGTTAAGTAGGTAGGTACTTATAGTTAAGTAGGTATGTTGTATAGGGACAATCCATAGACATAATGGTTTTTATACTGTACAATCAGTCAATTCGATCCCCTTACACTAACCTTACCCATCATAGAAAACTTTAGGAAAAAAAAAAAAAAAACATCACTTAGTATGATTAAGAAGCTGTTTTCCTTATGGAGACCAAAATGTCCAGGACAGATGGACGGATGCACAAATAATAATGAATATATGAAGAGTTCAGATGCAAAAGCCTCTAAATGCCATTTGAAATTTTCTTCTAAAATGACCATTTTTATCAAGCTTGTATATTTCAGTTCAGTAATTTCACTTAAATGACAATTAATAGGTAATCTTCATTGCCATTTAAGTGAAATTACTGAACTTAGATATACAAGCTTTATAAAAATGATCATTTTAGAAGAAAATTTCAAATGGCATTTAGAGGCTTTTGCATCTGAACTCTTCATATATATATATATATATATATATATATATATATATATATACATTTATATATAAACAACAATGCTTTTGCTCAGATAAATGATCCATGACAAAGTCTAATAGCAATAACTGTAACTAGAATTCCTCTCTCTCTCTCTCTCTCTCTCTCTCTCTCTCTCTCTCTGTAGAAGCACAAGTCAAACAGAGAATGTCAAGGTGGTTTAATGTCACAGACACAGACTGCTACTTTGGTGTGACATGAGCTGGAGTTCAGAACAGGTTGAAACCACACACACGATGGATTGTGGATGAAGTAAAAGTACAGTTTAAAGTAAAAGTAGACACTCTTATCCAGTGTGACTTCAAACGTGCTTTAGCTTCACACGTGACACTGACATGGTTAATAGATGGCAAACACACAATACAGAAAGTTATCTGATAGGAAAGCGATAGGAATTACGTTACTATTACCTGCACACCTAAAGCACTAACTCTAAAGAAAGGACAGCATTTACAATCTAAAATCGATGAACATAGTCAAAAGAGGATTTTTAATGCAGTATCAATTCTATTGACTATTATAGACTGTGTTAAAAATCTTTTTATCACAAAGTCTGTTGAAAGTGCTGATTTTACATGAATGCATTCTCTAAAGAACACAAAAGTTTTTCATGACTTTCGTGACCAGCCTGGCCAAACCACACATCAGTGGTACATTACTACGGCAACGGCAGTCAAACAGTATTTCTGTTTTGGGAATTCTGAGATAATCTTTCCTGTGACTCAGGACAGGCAGTGTGACCTTGGAAACTGCCAAAACAATACTAAAGTTGACTTTACAAAACTGTATTAACCTTAAACACACATGTACACAACCTTGACCCTGAATGAGTGTTGACTTGACCCAGACCAAACCTGTTTCT